AAGGGCGGTACGAGGGTGAGACTTGGCGTTGGTGTTTTGGAACATCAAAGATGGACAGGGTTTTCGCGGAGGTCGCTCCTCAGATATCTCCACAACTACAGATCGGGGATCTTCCAAAATTGAGAAGATTGGTGCATATGGCTAGGTCACTTCACCTTACAATTTGTATGACACTCTGGCCCGGGGTTGTGGTGTGGTAGGGGAGAACGGGGGATATTCCCATACAGGAGTTTTGAACAACGTCCGGTTCACATTTGGCTGGATAACTCCACCACCACACAGGGTATGCGGTCGGCGATGGGGTCAGAATGCTCGTATGATCGAGGGCTTTTCGATGGATCTATCAGCGGGTTCTTATTCGAAAAATCAAGTGAGTTTGTGGTGATCTGTTGCATGTGAGTGTCTGTGAATGCTCAGTATCTCTATCAAGAATTTCTTCATTATTTTGTTTGAAATAAATGTAACTGAAGGTGAAAGAGCCATGTGAAGAGAAGATCAGTTAATCACCTGTCTCATCTCAGTTCATATAATAATGAGATGTTCTTTTTACAGCTGCTTTTTATTAACATACATGATTCTCTGAGCTTTGAGACTCTGTGAACAGTGCATGATGTTTGCTACTCTACATTTTATACAGTATATCAGACACTTAATCTTCTGTATAATGATAATAAGTGAATCATTACATTTGAATCTGCTGTTATATTTACAACTGCTCACTGCATGCAGTCAGTATTCATCACTGCATTGATTTATAAAAATGTTACAGATTCATCTGCTCTCTGAGTATGTTTTCATCATACTCTCTGTGATAATCTTTCACATTAACTGCATCAGATGAATTCAGACTGTATTAATAATACTTCTTCAGAAGATTTATATTATAACTATGATCTGTTTCTTATTCAGCAGCTTCTGTATGAGTTTGATAAGACTCTTGCAGACTTCAATCTTTCTGCATGCAGCTCTGTATGAAATAATCTTATTAAAAATCAGCTACTTTTTGAGAAGCAGAACTACAATCTTATAGAGAAAATCATCACTGTAAACACTCTGCAGATGCAGTTGAATGACAATCAATGCTATGTATATGATTCAATCCTGGTCACAATAGAATTACAGCCATCTCACTATTTTATACAGAGTTCAGATGACACTGATAAAACATTTCTTTACAGAGCTCTCTATAGCTGTCTATATACAGGTGAAAAACCAGTTCTTTATATAACTTTCTCTGACATTGCAGCTATTCTTTTATCACATGACAGAACAGCTCACTCACATTTTAGCATTCTGATTGAATTGAATATAGATTTCATGTCAAAGATAACTATTCACAGTGAACTGAGCTGTCTGCTGCAGACTGTGAATTTGATTATTTGAGATAAGACCCTCATGCAGCACTGCTATTATATGAAGATTGTTAACTATCTTCTTCAAGATTTATATTCATCAGATGAGCTTTTTGATGATGTCTCTATTATATTTAATAATGATTTTACACAGACTCTGTCTGTTGTATCATGTGATAGTCATGCTGCAGTTATTACAGCTTGTCTGCAGTATTTATATATATAACAGCAGTTAACTGTACTGCACTTGATAAGAAATATGAGACTCACTGTGAATAATGACAATGTGATATTTATGAATTGACTTGATTAAATGTCATATAATCTGGACTTCATTGATCATATTGATCTTCTATTATATATTCATCAGACTGCTAATATCAGTGTGCTGTGTGAGAGAATGTTTTCTACAGCTGAATTTAGAACTGCAGCAGTCTGCTCTGATTACTTCAAAAGCTGTGTCATTCTCACTGTATTAAATCAGAATGCATTTCACATTAATGAACAGATTATAACAGTTATATCAGAGAACATTCATACATTCTATACTGCAGACATGACTCATATAGATGATCTGGCTCTGAGCTGTGAGAAGTTCTCTCACAAATATCTGGCTGTTATTAACTATTCAGCCCTGTCATTATCTATATTAAGATTGAAAGTGAGTACTTCTGTCATACTTCTGTATAATCTCTGACTGTCTGAAGAGCTCTGCAATGACATAAGAATAATTATACAGTGAATGATAATCTGTTTACTTAAGATGAAGATCATATTCAGTATGTATAAGAGTTCAGTTCATATACTATCACAGATTAATCTACATACTTGATCTGTTGAGATTTCATTTAATATGACTTACTGTCAGTTTTCAGTCTGTTCATACTTTGTAATGATAATTAATAAGTCTCAGAGACAGTCTCTTTCTACTGTTGATATTAATCTCAGAAACTCTGTATTCTTACATGATCAGCTGTATATTGTACTTTCTCAAACTACAGATATCAGTCAGTTGACTGTTCTGCTGAATGAGAATGATGAGAAATATACATTAAATAAGATATATTCAGAGATTCTATAGTTTCTTAATTAATACTTCTACTACTGCTGTTTTTTCTTCATTATCTACAGAATATCATTTTCAGATGTTAAAATAGAGGTCTTTAAATATGTAAAAAACTGTCATTTCAAATTGACACTAACTATTAAAAAAAAGAAAAAAGCAATAATGTCTCATCAGACTCATACAGCCTGCTCACATCACTCTCTATTTTTTGAATTTTTTAATCAGAGCTATAATGCCTGTGAAGATGCTCTGTTGACTGAGCTGAGTCATCTATAACAGGCTCACAGTCTCACTCTGCTCTCTACATAAATACTTCATCTCTTTCTCTATCTTATAGAGTCAGTGCATCTCCATTCACAGCTGTAATAACTTCAACTTCATGATTTCACTGCTACTCATCTCATCATCCTTCTCTTCATTCTTCAGAGTCATAAACATCGCCTGTTTCTTTTTGACTGAATCAGACAGCTCAGTCATCTGACTCAGCTTCACACTGACAGCTTACTTCTTCTTCTTTCTCTTCTTCTTCTCATTCTCCCCTGCAGTGATTGTATTGACAGGGACAGCAGTCTGCTGATTCTCTGTTATTTGTATGTCAGTATATATATTTTATATATACATTTTACTAATGAATTTGCATGCTGTAGAAATAATTCATTACTTATCAGACTACAAGCTGCAGTGTTTGTTTAGTGAATTATAGTAATAATTTACACAGACTCTCTTTAATATGCTGAAGATTATAACACACTTAATAAACAAACTGTGGTTCTTCTCACATGAGCTGCATAGTGAGATGACTTTGATATCACAGCTGTGAACAAGTGCTGATTCTACATTTATTGTTCTTTTTAGCTGAGGCTCAAAATTCTCCTCACACAGTACTATATCTCTCTTGAGCTTCATCTCTCACAGCTGTGCAATGATCTCACTACTGTTCTTGATGATCTGTTCTACCAGCAGCTGTAGCCTATGTTCAGGCGTCCACACATTGGCAGGCTGCTGGTGTGGCTGCTGAGGGGCAGGCGCAGGCAGATTGGCAGGCTGCTGGGGCTGCTGAGTCTCTAGAACTTGCTGAGCTTGCTCTGCACTATTATTAGCCATAATTCCATCATTTCTGAGCTGTTTATTTTTGGTTTTTTGATAGTTCTCTACTTACATTCAGCCATTTTGTCTGCTTCAATGTTTTGAGGGTTGATAGATGTAAATTGTGACATTTCAAATGCTTGCTATTTAATTGTAATTGCTATATTCTCTACATGAGCTGTCTGATATTTAATTACACCTCACTTAGAGCTTCTACATTTACTCTACAACACTACTACAGTGTTATTCATCTTTTTCATCTATGTGATTATTCTCTATTAACATATTAACAGCTGTGGATTACATGGAATTCATCTATACAAGTCACATGCAGTTGTTCATATCTCATTACATTCGTCCGAGGGATTAAACAGCGCGTTTTTCAAGCTGAATAAGCGAGCGCAAGCGAGCGATTAAGGCTTGTACTTATTAATATCTATCAGTAGTTCTGCTTCTTGTAGTCATTGTAATATCTTTTACATATACTCTTGATATTCTTTTCTGAATTCATCAGTGAAGATGAGAATATTATCTAGATAAATAGATACAAACTCATTAAGAAAATCTCAGAGTACTCAGTTAATATACTTCTGAAATATACTGAGAGTGTTAGTCAGTTCAAAGAGTGTGACTATTTATTCAAAGAGACTATAACATGTTTAAAATACTGTAAATCATTCATCTTCTTCAGTGATACAAATTTTATGAAATATGATAATAATATCTAGTTTTATAAATCATTGAGCTCATCTGATTCATGCTAGAGTTTCATTGATAAGAGATAAGAGATATCAATCTTTCTTTATTAATCTGTTCAGATCTCAGTAGTTCACACAGAATCAGAGTTCTTCATCTGATTTCTTTATAAAGAGAATAGAAGCTGTGATGAAAGAGTTACTAATGTATATGAATTCTTTATTCAACAGATCATTGAGTGTCTTTTGAAGAAGAAGAAGTTCATCTCAGAACATGTTATAAAGAGAGTCTCATAACAGTTCAGAGTTCTTATCATTCTTTTTCTCTAACTTGATACTGTGATTCACTTCAGAATCTTATAAGAAAGATATATTTATAATATTATCTTATCAGAAGATATCTAGATATTCATGATATTATTGAGAGAGTTTCATACAAGAATCTGTTATTATAATATAAGATCACTTTTCTAGAGTCTTTTTAATATCAGTCAGACTGATGAAATAGATTGATATATAATTCTGCTATCAGTGATTCTTTCAGCAACTTCTTTTTCTGAGTATTTTATAGATGTTAACAGAGATCTGTGTCAGATCAATAGTCTTATGAATATCATCTTTGTGAATTCTATCATTGTTAGAGAATATCAAGCTTCTGTTTTAAGTATTCAATAAGATATCTTATTCAGATAGTCAGATAAGTTCTAACATAAGATTATAATCAAGATTATCAACTTCATATGCATAGACATCTTCATGTTGATATTCTCTCATATCTATGATCAGCTTCATTATATAACAGATACAAATGTCTTTTGAATCATCAAATTCTGTGAGAAGTTAAGGTTTTGATAAAGAGATACACTGAAGATTATAATATCTTATAACTGAAGATTTTATTATTGTATAGTGACATAGATCACTGTCTATCATGACTTTTATATTATATATATTATCAATCACAGTAGATATAAGAATTATATTCATTGTTATCTTCTCTTTAAATTATTATCATCTGATCTCTTTAAGCTTCTGTTTATGAATTTGAACAGAAGCTAATCTTTTTCCTGTTTCATTAGAACATTCTCATAGTTATCTTTCAATTCTTTCTCTAATATAACATGATTGATAGGAACAGACACTGATTCATTCTTTAAATAAGAAGACACTAATCTTTCTCTCAAGTATGAAGACACATAGATTAATTAGCAGTTGAAAGCAATGTGTTCTGATCAGTTACAGTTAATGCACACTTTATATTGACATTGATCAGTGACTTCTTTAAGAGTGATCTCAGAGACTCAGAAGCCTGTTCAGACAGCAGAGACTCTTGCTTATGTATAGATATTTAAGTCTACTTAATTCATAATATCTGCATCATTGTTATTCCTCAGCACAGATGTATAAGTTACTGAAGTGTAACATCTTCTATCACTATTCTGTATATTCTTGAGCTTGATAAGACAGTTATTTATTGTCTGAAGCTGTATACAGAAGTCTTTATAAGTCTGATCTTTATCTACACTTATAAGAGTCTGTAAGAGTTTAAAAGTTAATATCTTCTTAAGCATACTAATCTTTATTCAATTCTTTTAAGATTGATTATCTGCTTCTAGAATCTTGATGTTGAAGTCAGAAATAAATGTTGTAAGAGAAGTGTTTCTCTGTCAGATACTCTGTAATCAATCTAATGTTTTCTGTTATATAACAGTGTCTTGAAACAGCCAGCGTGGCCCAGTTGATAAGACTGATAACCAAGGCCGCACACATTAGAGGTGCGTGGGTTCGAATCCCACCGCTGGCACCTGCTACTTCTTACTCATGAAAGCCCTCATATAATAGAGGCTGAGTCTAATTAGTAAGGCTTAATGCAGGGTAGAACTCTCTACTGCAAGCTAAGTCACTAGTTAAGCGAGATTCTGTGAACACTCATCAGAGCTGATATGAGATGCTAATATCTCACTATTCTACTATACACCTGTCAAGGTTCTAATGATATAGAGTCAAGTCTAATGTAGTGATTATACACTACTTAAGTAAGTCTCTAACTAGAGCTGTCATCAGAGCCTAGCTCTCTCTCAAATACAGAAAATGATTTTGAAAATCATCTGACTAGCAGATCTAGACACATATCTAGACTCTAGACAGAGTACTCTGATAGACTAGAGCCTGCAAGCTCTCTGCCAAGCTCTAATACTGACAGGGAGAACTGCAGTCATCAAGTCTATAATTAGTCTCTAATATGAAGTGAGGTCACAACAGCTGATTGATAGACCTATGAGCATCTAATGAGACCGAGATCAGCAATCAGAAGCTTGATATGTACATCACTAAGTGAGTGATAGCAGTCACTAACTAACATCTCTGGAAATTAGTGGCTGGTCTGAGAGGACAGACACAGTGATCAATTAATTATAGAGAGTTAAATGTAATTAGCTTAAGATGCATTCTGCAGGTGACTAGCACCTGTAGTCATCTTCTATTAAAGTAATGAAAATTGAAGCTTCAATTTCTTCTTCTACTATTAGATTTGAAACGGCCTGTATAAACTATACTCTGAGAGTTATAAAGATGAGCTTAAATCATATAATTAGAGAAAGAGTCTCTTTCTCATTTTTATCAGTTAACTCTGAAAATGAACTGAATTGAAATAGATTTCTTGATTAAAATGAAAATGATTCTTCAAAGAAAATGCCTTCTCAACTTTACAGACTATACTCTCTGATTAAAAATCAATTTTCTTCTTTAAATGTTGAAAAAGTGAATCATGAGAAGTTATCTCTCTGAAGAGAAAAGCTTGAATCTCTTATAGACTTATAAATAAGTGAACTATTAAAAGAGAAAGAATGTGAACAGTATTTGAAGAGAATTTCTATAATTAATATAAAAGACTCTATTCTGATTTATTCAGATGACTCAAAGAATGAGAATCTGAATAGATTAGATACAGACATTGCTTATACTGAAGATAATATCAATTTTATCTCAGATTTCTGAAATCTAGACTGTGAATCTGAAGTCTTTGATGCTGAACTATTTATAATAGTGAAAGCTTTCAAACTCATAGAAATAAAATCTTATAAAAGAGAAAATAGTTTAAAAAAGATATGAATATTCTCTGATAGTCAAGCTGCTTTAAAAAGACTTAGAAATAGTCAGATTTATAATGATCAAATGAATCTTGAACTGATCTTAAACTCTGTTTTGAAAATTCAAAAGAGAAGAATATCAAAGCTGATAATTCATCTACACTGAGTTTCTGCTCATATGAATATTCATGATAATGAATTGACTGATTCAGCTGCAAAAAAGAATGCAGAATTAAGCAGATCTATTCAAAAAGTTATATTCTAGTCTTTTATAAAGAGAAAAATAAAAGAATCTTGTTTAGACAAGTGAAATGAAAGCTGGCAGAAACAAAAGAAGAGTATACATTATTCAAGATTTGAAACAAAATCTAAGTGAAAATCTTGTTTAATTAAATGTAAAAAGAAAATATTCTCATCTATAATACAGCTGAAACTAGAACATAGCTATTTCAAATCTTATATACAAAGATTTAATGATAGATTTGACTTAATAGAATGCTCATTCTGCAATGCAAATGAGAATTCTGAGTATATTATAATACACTATGTATTATACAATAGTCTCAGAGTCAGATTGAAAAAGAAGTATAATCTAAATTAATTAAATATAAGATTCTTATTCTTAACTGAGACAGGAATTAAATATTTAATAGACTTTCTATCAGAAACTCAAGCAGCTATAAGAAAATGACTAAATTCAGAATTATCTGAATATGAAGAGGAGAAAATCAATCAGATATAGTCTGTTAAAACAGCTATATACTATCTTTTAATAATTTGTTTTGTTACAGTCTTTCTTTACTTTATCTTTTTCTTTCAATTTCTTTCTGTCTATCTATTTAATGTGTCTATCTTTAAGACTGTGTTCTCTTTTCCTTTGTCATGATATTGTCAAATGATTTCAAAGTATCAGAAGATGTTAAAACACTGTAATTTATAAACAGTTTTTGTATTCTGAGCTGGAATTTTCTGATTTTGTATATCTGAAATTGATGAATGTATAATAGTTAACTTTACAGATATAGGAAAAACTCTGAGAACTAAAAGTTCTCAGGTAGATGTCATAGTCTCTGACTGCATACATCTATAATTGAAGAATAATAATAATAATACAGTGTCTTGAAACAGAATATCAAGATATTTAATGATATTATCAGATATTCACAATGCTGATTTATATACTTTTATTTATGAATGAAACTTCTGTTTCATATAATTCTTTAATTGTTCATTG